TGTTTTTCATTTTACAGTTTGACTCAGTTCAACAATATGATCATGTACTGGCTGAAAAACAGCCCATAGTTGCTGGGGTATTTTAATCAGCTTTAGCCATATCTAGTTTCTGAGACTAGTGTCTTCTGAATTCTAGGCATAAGGCAAAATTATATTTTAAAAAACCAAAACACAACTCATGTTTCTTCTCCAGTAGCTATTGAACTCCAGCACTAATTTGATAATTTTCTTTGCTTTCTCTAGGAATATAAGACTTACAAGGAGAACTTTCTAAAGCGCTTCCAGCTCACCAAGCTGCCCCCATATCTAATCTTTTGTATCAAGAGATTTACTAAGAACAACTTCTTTGTGGAGAAGAATCCAACTATTGTCAATTTCCCTATTACGTGAGTATTATCCAGTTGTACTTTGGGGGAATAAACTTGGATTTCTTTCCATATATATTTGTGACTATTAACTTTGAACTGTCTTAGTTGGAGATCACAAGGAACAGAGTCTACTTAAACAACATAAGTTCAAGGTTTTTATGGATTCTGCTGGTAGATGCATTGCCAGAAATAAAAACAAAGGAATTCCAAAGATTTCCAGGGTTCAGTCCCAATTTAATTGTTCCTCCTATTGCTGGTAGGGAATTATAGTTTTTGGTGTAGGGAAGAAGATTTCACGCATGTGAGTAGGTTCAGGTAGAAGATTGTCCTGAGAGTGAGGGTCCACCTGTGTATTTGCTGATGTATCCTGCACAGTGTAGATAGGCATAGACTGTGGGGATGACTCCAGATTTGTCCTGTCATCTTGGGGTCCAGTATCCTAATTTTTCCTCAGAGGTTAAAGTCTAGAATGTGTTCAATTTCTTCCTTTTGTTAGGAAGTTATAAATTTGGATTTGTGGTCATATTTTTAATTTATCATGCAGGTCTTTTTATGAACATTTGGGGAATTGGGAGAGTTGTAGTAGACTTGGTTCTCACTTCTTAAGAGAGAGGGTATTTCACACATTGAAGAACATGCCTTTGGGAACTTGGAGAAAACTAGTGGCAGAACTGGCAGGAAGAAATGGGGGCGTTTAGCAAACTGATGTTTGAAGAAGGTGAGAACATAGCCCTAAGGCAATTCAGTAGTAAGAAGGACTTGGATGGGTTTATGATGTTTATCCCTATAGTCTGTTTTAAAAGTTTATATTTTAGGTCTAGACATGGTGGGTCATACCTGTAATCCTAGCACTTTGGGAGGCTGAGGTGGGAGGATCTCTTGAGGCCAGGAGTTTGAGACCAACTGGAGCCTGAGTGAGACCTTGTCCCTTCAAAAAATAGAAAAGTTAGCTGAGCATGGTGGTATGCACCTGTAGTTCCAGCTACCCAGAGGCTGAGGCAAGAGGATCACTGGAGCCCAGGAGTTGGAGGTTATAGTGAGCTGTGAGGAGGCCACTGCACTCTTGCTTGGGTGACAAGAGTGGGACGCTGCCTCAAAAAAAAAAAAAAAAATTAAAAACACCCCAAAATAAAACACTGAGAAACTTTCACTCCAGGTAGCTCAAGAATGCTTCTTCATATTTGAAAGCAAATATTAGAAATTAAAAATAAAGTTTCTAAATCCTATTTAAAGGAACCTAGTAGTTTTTTTGATGATCAGAACTGAGAAATTTGGAAGCTGTAGGGTAGCCAAGGTTTGGGAGTCACATACAGAAGAGAAAGCAACCTGCAATACAAGGGATGATGCAAGCTGATGTCAAAAGGAAGCAGAAAAGACAGCAGGTACCTGTTTTGGATCCTGTTTCTACTCTAGGCCCTAGTTTAGCTGCATTTCTTAGTCTGAAAATCTTTTATTCTCCTTTTGTGCTTAAACTAGCTTGGGTAGTTTTCTAATACTTTTAAACAGGGGGCCAGTTCACTGTCCCTCAGACCTTTGGAGGGCTGGACTGTGGGCTCCAGGATGAGTCGGCTGCTAAGCAGGACAGATAGTGGTGGCAAAAACACCCGGTGGGCCAGGTAAATGTCCTGGGTGGGCCGCATATGACCTGCGGGCTGTAGTTTGAGGACGCCTGCTTTTAACCATTCTGTCACTTTACCTGGCTAAAAGAAAAATGGTGAAGTAAAGAAGTAAAGTCTTAGAAAATAAAAGAAGAAAATAAATCTGAATGATCTGCCTGATTTGTCACATTGAGGTTGTGACTCTGATGGCGTACAGTGGCAACCCACATAATCATGTGGTCAGGCCTTCCAGAGACTAAGGCCAAAGACCAGGTGTTGCTTTAGTACCATAGCTGCAGCAAAATTTCCAGTTGAGAAGGCTTACTCCTGTTGTTCCAATTAAACCTCACACATCTCTGAGGAGACAGTGACTCTCATTCTCATACCATAGAAGAGGCTTAGGTTGTGTAACCTGCTTAAATTTGCATGCAGCCTGAAGAAGGAGAGCTAGGATTCCAGTTCAAGTTGGATGATTCCTGGCATGAACTTTTGATTTCTGGAAATGCTTTTTTTTTTTTCTATTGAGACAGAGTTTCACTTTGTTGCCCTTGGTAGAGTGCTATGGTGTCACAGCTCACAGCAACCTCAAACTCTTAGGCTCAAGCAATTCTCTTGCCTCAGCCTCCCAAGTAGCTGGGACTGTAGGTGTTCACCACAACTCCCAGTTACTTGTTTAGCAGGCCCAGGCTGGGTTTGAACCTACCAGCCCCAGTGTCTGTAGCCAGTGCCCTAACCACTGAGCTATGGCACCAGGCCTAGACATGCTTTTAAAAGGTGCTTTTCTCATAGAGCAAATTTTTCATTCTTGTTGGCAAATTTTGTGAATTCCAACCAACCTAGACTTTCATGGCTCTGCAAGCCTACCCAGAGCTAGGGTCCTAAATAAAATAGGATTTAACAACTTTGTGGTCCATTTGTGTAGGACATTTTCTCTAATGTCAAAGCCTTAGTCTGAATATCTGGCTTTTTTTTAATCACCAGAAATGTGGATCTGAGAGAATACTTGTCTGAGGAGGTACAAGCAGTACACAAGAACACCACCTACGACCTCATTGCCAACATTGTGCATGACGGCAAGCCCTCCGAGGGCTCCTACCGGATCCACGTGCTTCATCATGTGAGTGGCTGCTGATTGTCTCATGACACAGAGTGGCAAAAACAGGCGTTCATTGGTATTTTAGAGGGTTCCCTTCAGTTTGTCCTTGCTTGGCCTTGGCTTTGGTACTCTGCAAATAATTGTGCTGTCAGTCCACAGTCTGAGGCAGTGCCTGCACACTGAGCTCACCTGGGGAACTTTTAAAAATCCTGATGCCTGGCCGGGCATGGTGGCTCACGCTTGTAATCCCAGCACTCTGGGAGGCTGAGGCAGGTGGATCGCTTGAGCTCACAGGTTCAAGACCAGCCTAAGCCAGAGCGAGACCCGATCTCTAAAGATAGCCGGGCCCTTGTGATGGGTGCCTGTAATCTCAGCTACTTGGGAGGCTGAGGCAAGAGAATTGCTTGAGCCCAAGAGTTTGAGGTTGCTGTGAGGTATGATGCCACAGCATTCTACTAAGGGTGAGAAAGTGAGACCTGTAGGTGCCTGTAGCTGAATGGCTAGGTCACCAGCCACATAGACCTGGGCTGGCGGGTACAATTGGGCCCAGGACGGAGTGTTCCCTGCCAAACAATGATAATTGCTACAACAGCAATTACAACAAAATAGCTGGGCATTTAACAAAATAGCCAGGCATTGCGGTTGGCACCTGTAGTCTCAGCTTCTTGGGAGGCTGAGGCAAGCAAATCGCTTAAGCCCAAGAGTTTGAGGTTGTTGTGAGTTGTGACACCACGGTACTCTACTGAGGGCGACACTCTGTCTCAAAAAAAAAAAAAAAAAAAAAAAAGCCTGATTCCTGGGCACCACCCCAGGCTAATTTCATTAGGACAGTGACAGTGGTTTTCACCTACAGTCGAGGCCAGAGCTATTTTATATACCCTACAAAGCACAAGACAGCTCACGCAACAAAGAATTATCTGGCCAAAAATCTCGATCAGTATCAGTTAAGAGAATCTGCATTAGATCATTTGGAAATGGAACCCAGCATTTGATGTTTCAGAGTATCCCAGGAGATTCCAGTACACAGCCAAGGCTGAGAGCCTCCATTCTGACTCGATTCTTACCACCCAAAGTGGTAATAATGCAGAATCTTAGGCCCTTCAGTCCTATTAATTGAATCAGAATCTTCATTTTGATAAGATTTGTATGAAATGAGAATTTGTAGAGCACTGGTTTAGACGCTCCCTTTCAGCTCAAAAGTTTTGTGAATTTGTCTCAAGTTGAAAGCAAATAAAACACATTCTTTTTTTTTTTTTTTTTTTTTTTTTTGAGACAGAGCCTCAAACTCGATTCAGACCCACTACTGTGTTAGT